TTAGTCACATCGAAGCCATGAAATATTAATGCAGGGATGTGCAAATATTTCCATTTAAAACTTGATTTCTAATGTTTTATCCTAAGCAATGCGTCATTTATACGGAAAGTATCGAAATATTACATATATTAATGACATATGATTTATACAGCTATGTATTATATCGAAAACAAACGAAATATTAACATTGTTTTCTGTTGCTAAATATTTCGTTATCTTTTATTTGTTTATTTATAATTAATAATTTTGTTTGAGAGCTTACGAAATTTGGCTTGAAAACAAACTCAGAGTTCTCTTGATTATGCACACATGTTGGCAGACCTCCCTTTATTATTAGTTTTTTTATTGCTAGAGACAGGAAGGATTCCTAGAGATAGGGTGAATCATAAATTTTCTTGAATTTAAATCCGAAAAATCTATCGAGAAACTCTCATAAGAAGAAGAATATAAAGAAAAAACCTTTTACTTAATATTCGAGGTTTTTAACTGAAACAATCAGAAAAACAAAGATTATAATTTTTAAAAGTACACCAATATTTATTAAAAATATGCAAATGAAGTTTGGTAAAAAGAATAAAACACTTGAATCTTGAGATCAATTTTTTCTATATAATTTAAATAGTAGTTCAATTTTTCTGTTCTTTTTCATGCTGTTTCTAAACAAATATACACCAGAAAAGGAATATTTCAAGAGCACAGGCAAATACTATAGACGGAACACTTAATTCTCTTTAGGAAATAAAAAAATTAGGAAATGTTAATTCTCTTTAGGAATTCTCTTTAGCGTGATTCTCTTTAGGAATGCCACCCAACGCAACCACGAACAAATTGGTAATTTAAAGCCAACAAATTTCAATTATTATGCTGTTCTTCTTATGAAAAGTTTTACAGGATGTCAATAAAATAATTCTTTCCTAAGTTTAGAGTTAAAAAGTTTAACGTTTTCTAGGTTGCGGTTCAAAAGTTTCGAATGACGACTAGAACACAAACTCGAGTTTTGAAATCTGAAATTTTTTTATGTCATTCAAAGTTTTAAATGCTCGATCCTTACTATTGAATTTGTTTGCTACATTAAAAATGATTGTTTTAATATTTTACTAATGAATTATTAATAAACATAAAAATTTTATTAATAATTCATTAGTAGAATTTTAATGTATTTAACAAAATTCAACATTTTGTTGAATACATTAAAATTCTACTAATGAATTATTAATAAATAGGAAATGAAAGGTATTTATAAATAAAGCTGATTAAATTAAACTAATGCTGCTAATTATCCATAAGCTATTGACTGATATTATTAACTTGCGAAAATTAAAGGTCTATACAAAGAGTGCGAGGAATATTACATAGTGAACCGTGTAAGGTATTCGTGATAAAGGAATCTATATTAGTTTCATTTACAGTTATTGAACAAGACTACTATTAATAAATTCATCAATGTGAAATTGCTCAATTTTCTTTATAAGATCCTACTAGGCGTTCCAAAAAGGTCACACATCAGTACAGAAAGGTTTATTCATTACAAAATTCTAGCAAATGCTTCTGCACATTCAGTTTTTATGTGCTATCAGTTTTTCTTATCTCCTTTTATTAGAAAAATAATTGCAGAACCATGAATATGATGATATAAAAATATTATTGCTTCAATAATTTATTGATGCGCTGAAGTAATATTTAATAAAATTTTGTAATAGAATCTGATGTCACTCTCCGATGAAGCCATGAATTTGAATTTCTTGAACCATCTTGATTACAATCTCTATTTTTAATACACGTATGATGAGGTTAGGAAAGTATGCAGCTGGATCATACGCCTTTCTTCGGATAATAATGGTTCTCAACCGTTGGTACGCAAGAGAAAAATAGGTGGTACTCAAAGAAGCAAAGTATTTTTAACTATTAAATTCAAGAATTAAAACTTCAACATACTGGTTGAGTTTTTTTCTGTAACACACGTAAATTTATGCGATCTGAGCTTTTTTCATGAATGGTGGTAGTAATACACTGTAGCGGTGGTAACAAATGCTTTCAATTTTTGTTTAGATGGTACGCTTTAGTCAAAAGGTTTAGGCTATTATCCACTGTTTTTCAAAACACTTTTGCCATTTCCGTGTATACATTGCTTTAAAATTTTCTCTTTTGTTTGCCATGAAAGACTTTAATTAAATTTACTTCACATTTTTTCATTTGTTTAAAGGAATAACTTTAAAGGAGTTCTTGAGAAATAAAAACCCATCATTTAAACCTTTTAAATTGTTTACTCACAAGGAATTTGTAATTTTTTACAGTTATTTCGCCTGAAACATATTTTCACTTACAATAGGAAAAACAAGGATTCAGTCGTACAGTAATAAAATTAAGTTTTTTATATATGACAACATATTTTTGCCTATGAGCATTCTGAATAAGAAACACAACACAAATTTTTATGAGCAACTAAAATATTAAAAAAACTTTACTGGAAAAAGTGTTCTGAGAATTATCATAAATAAATTGCATTCATTTGCTGCTTGAGATTGTGTTCGTGAAAAATGATGCTTGAGACCTTAACAGTGAATATGCTTTTTCCGTTTATATAATTAGGTATCATATCAGACTTTTTCAAAAACGAGTGCATACGATAATGTAAAAAAGGCCTCGATTTGGAGTTCGCTGGCATCGGATTCCCTCTGTCACCAGAAATTAGGTTAAGGTAAAGTTCATTTTATCATGCTACTGATGATGTATTCCTCCACAGGCACGATATTAAAGCAGCATTTTAACAACAACCTAAAGAGAGGATTTCTAGAGTCTTTAAAAGAACCAAAGAGTCCATTTAATGTATAAGGCTGAATGAAACCGTGATATTCCAAACTCATATATAACAGTATTTCTAAATAGTTGCAGAACGTTGCAGAGTGTGCGCGCAACATACTATGTCAGCTCGTGATAAGCAGTTTTCATTCCTTCGAATCAGATAGAAGTCTCGTTCTGTATAACACTTTTCAAGTTATTTACCCGAACTGATGTAAAGCAATTTACTTTATATCTAATAATCACGACCAACGAAACACACTGATTGCCCGTCGTTAATTCATGTTTTGAATGTACGAATTCATACTATTATTGTAGTCGGAGTTATTTCTTCTGAAAGAATCCACAGTTTATTACACACAACTTGTTATGGACCATATTTATGATAATTGTTTAATGTTTGAAACTAAACAAACCACTTCACTTTAAAAACTTTTGTTAAAAGCAACTTTTTCTTAAAAGGGGAAAAAATGTTGCTCTGAACTTTAGAAAAAAAACTAAAATTAATGTTTTAAGGCTCCTCAGGACTAAATGCTGATGAAAAAGGAAAGTTTACCGTAAGCGTCAAGCATGTATTGGAACCTAATAAAATACGAAAAAAATGCGAAAAGGTATTTTATAATTATTTGAATCAAAACATGAAATGAACAAGAATGAAGTATCTGAATTAAGTAACCACGTGGGAACGTCTGCCGGACATATACGTATTTTAAAGCAGCTAGCTTTTTGCTTTGCTTTCTGAAAAGTGGCCTTCGTACTCAGCCCCTTTCAAGAGCATTTGACCAGGGCAAAATGCAAAAAGCCCCTCGGACAAGCTTTCGATCAAAATATATGTGAACGCAAGGTTTAGAGAAATAACCATTATCTTCTGTGGTTTAACTCAGTTATACTGAGGTGTTTTAATTTACCTCTAATGCAAACAATTATAAGTACTTTCGCCCTTTTTGTCAAATATAATATTAGAGCGTTGAATTACTCATTTAGTAAGCATAGAAATATCTGAAGTCTGAAAACGTGAAAGAAAGTTTAATATTTTCTCACTAAATGGATTTCTCAGATTTGATAAAATGCAAGGGCTCCGAAACGCAAATCTATATAAATAGTTCCGCAGCTTCAACTACTGCAACTGCTTGAATAAAGAGCATGTAATTTAACTCCAGCTTACAATTAAAGAAGAAAAGCATTCTGTTGTATAATGTAATAAAGCATTTTTTAAATTTATTTTAGAAAGTAATAAGATCATTTAAACTTTAAAGTTAAATGATAAGTACACATTCTACTGAGTTTTATCTCAAAGACTTTGACAGAAAAACCACTGCTTGTTGCAAACTTAAAATATCCAATTCTACCCACTGCTGCATTTTTTTCGTTTCCACTGGAAGTGAACCAGGATTAATCAGATGATTCTGCTCCATTGTTAGAATAACAGTTTGAATTTTCAGCAATAACGCTTATAGAAGATTCACTGTGTGCAGGTTTAAAATATAAAAATCTTTAACATTTTTCATCTAGTTTTAACCCTTCAGTTCTTTATGAAAGACAAAAAAAAAAAAAAAAGCGATGCCAAGAAGCGGATCATAAATGTCATCTCTTCCTTCCCTTCCATATTTTTTTAAGCTTAGAACTTTTGGGGTTTCTGTGCAGGCACTGCATCCGGATCTAAACTAATACCTTATCAGTGCTTATCTTCAGTGTCTCTTTAATCTTGCCTGTAAGGCTGTCCAAACATATATTAAAAAACTTGGACAGTTTAATGCGCTTTACTGCTCGGAGCAAAGTAATGAATAATCAATGTGTCATGTACTACCACTTACAGTGAAATGGGTGTGGGAGCAGAACATAAAATAATAATAATCACAAATCTCATCAATCACCACGAAATATGAAGATGGAAGCTACGGATCCAATTTTAAAAATGACGCAAAAAGAAGAAAAGGGGAAGTGGGCCTTTCATCTTCAACGGTTGATCCTGTATCCGGAGAAACCAAACCAAATTAATAATAGCTGTATATATTAAAAGTATTTCTCCCTCCGCCCAGTTAACGGTGTAGCTACCTCTGACCCACGTCTAGCCAAGGACGGGAGGAGAAGAGTCATGGAAGAAGGAAGAAAAAAAATCAAAGGAAGAAAATTTAAGTGAAAAGGGGTCGCCGCTGTTGAAAGAACCTGTTTGGAGAAAGTTTTAAAAGCGAGGTACCGGAACGCGAATACCGGGATTCACAGTTGCATCGTCTACCGGTGCGTGAGAAAAGATGATCATCTTGACGCGATTGGTGTTGAGTTTTGTGGGTTTGGGTCTGGTAGTGGCCGCTGGGCAGACAGCTCATCAGCAACAGAAGAATGTAAAAGGTAACTTTCTACTGCTGTTTTTATGTTTCTGTTATCCATGCTAGATTTCTTTAATTACAATCAAACATTCGTACGGAATTGACAATGCTCATACTTTGAAAAAATTAATAAATATTATAGCAGAACAAATGACGTTTCTATTCTAACCAATTTTATGTTACTGTGACCTGAAGCTTTTGAGATGCATATCAGTTTTTAATAGTTTTAAAAAATACTACTATATAATGCTACTTTAACATATAATGATCATGTATATGAGGCCACCGTATAAGCAAGCCCGCCCCTTTAAAACTGAAGAGTTATCTTAATTGAGGCCAATACAGTATTTCTTTGAATAACAAAATGCGCGTTACTCCATTTATGAGATATGGATAGGCTTCAAGAAGTGTCATCGTGTATAGGAGTTCGTGGAGCAATAATGTACGTAGCGTGTGCAAATTAAAAGAACTGGAAATAATATGGCTCAAACTATCCCATGACGATTATTATAAAGAAACTACCGTAATCTTTCTACACTTCCATTTTGTTGTATATGCCAGGATGTATGCTATGTTCGTTGCATATATTATTGTATATGTATGCTATGTTTGTTGCATATATTATAGTATATGTATACTATATTCGTTACATATGTTATTGTATATGTATGCTATATTCGTTGTATATGCCAGGATAATTTGCTTTAATATCCCTTTTTTCTAATATTTACGAATTATCCTGAGCTAAAGAAGATTATAGATTTTTCTGGACATTTAAAACATTGAAAAGGCTATATACTACCTATTTTCAAGACTGTATAGTTCTTCTTCTTCAGTATTACCCCTTCTTAATACACATTGAATATCACTTGATTGCACTGAATGAAGAGCGGAACAATACTTAAAATGCACGCCGATAAAACAGAATAGCATGCAAGAATTTTTTTTGTCATGCAACTAGTGATTTTAAAATTTACTCTTTTTTTACCATCAATAGTTGTCTCCAAAATGATGGATTTTTCGAAGTACACTTGAGCTTATATGCTTTAAAAATAATTTGTTATGAGTGTTCTTAGGAGCCCAGTATCGCTTATTTATGAATGGAAATGGTACTGATATGTTAAACAAATATTAATGAACACTGTTATTTCTCATACTCAAATATAAACGAAAATTGAAGCATAAAATCAGTTCCATTAAAGTAAAATGAACAAGTAATATAAAAAAATTATACCCGTATAATCAGCTAACTGAACAAATAAAAGAAAGGAAATTAGAATATTTGTTGATGAAATTTTTAAATTTATTAATATTAATATACGCAGTTTAATTTACATTTGCGCAAAATATAGTGCATTATTTGGGCATTTAGAATTTTCAGTAAAGTTTCAAGAATAAATAAAAATTTGCGAATTATTCCTGATTGAAAAATGTCTTGATTTTTCAATCAGGAATTAAGACCGAAATTTTGTTTACTGTTTACGACGTGTCAAGAATGTGAATTTTTAAAAAATGAATCTTTGGATTAATCTATTTATTCGAAATTTGTATTGTTCTATAGAAATATTTCATTATAACATCTTTCAAACGAATACATACATATCAAATCTTCTGTCATTGTTGACCTTCACCCCTTTGTCAAATATAAAGTTTCCTCATAGCCCTTTCAATAGCAATGCGCATTAACTTTTGACTTTCTTTGTTATAGGATTAACCGCGATAATATAATAGAAAAGACACAGTAAGACAAGTTAACAGTTTTTATAACCAGTGTGGGAAACGAAATCAAGCATCGAACGAAAGCGGCACTAGTCAATATTGTTGTGCACTGCAAATAAAAAAAATATTTTGCAAGATTTGGAATTTTTCTGAAACTTTTAAAACTTTATCAGTAACACGCTGCGGCAACAAACAACTTGGCAACTACTTGGGCCTATTTTAAAAAATGCTTAAATTTTTTTATAGTTTGTAGTAAGAAGACAGTAGCAGGCAGCAATCCAGCTAGGTCGAGGCGTAGAACGGAAGTGCGCTGTGTTCAGAATGAAATCTTAATTCAGAATGAGTCAGTTTGAATTTTTAATGCGTTTTAATTGGATATTAACACTGCTGTAAAATTATCATTGGTTGTTTCAGTTTTAGTTTTATTATCATCAGTGTTATGTCAGAGTTATATGACATGGATTAGTCTCGAATTGACACAATGCAGAAAAAGATTACTGTTTTTAGAATAGAGAGGGGAAATCAGTTTAAACATTAAGACGCTTTTGCTAATTTAAATTATATTTTATCTTTCACATTTTTTATCTTACATAAATATATATAAATATGTGTGTGTGTGCCTGTATGTGTGCATATTTTTACAAAAATATTTTTTCTGTATTTATAAGAGTATGCATTCCGTATGTAATGCATATTCCTAATTGAGAAGCAAAATAGCTTTGAATTCAAGAAGTTAATTGTTAATTAAGAAAATGAACTCTCTTATACTAAACAATAGTTTATTGTTATCTAAAGTAATAGAACAAAAGTACTTCAGAACACTGTGTTTGTTTCATTATTTGAAAAGCTATCATAGGTGTAAAAACTCTTGAAACAGAAGATATTCGCTTTACGAAAATTTCTTATGATTTGCATAATTATCAAAGACGACTGCAAGTATACACAACATAAATAATCACTTAGGGTGTCAGTTCCCGGAGCGCGTCAGCTAAGTTTTTCTCTTAAGTTTCAATTGAATAAATGTATACTTCGGACTTATTCATATGTTCAATATATACGAAGTACCAAATGTACGGATCGCCTAGCACACCAATCATTTTGCAGCCTGGTGTGTAAATTTAGTTTCATTATATCAAATAAAAGCCGATTTATAAGTCTTTGGAAGAAAAACATTAAAAAGCTGAAACGTTATTATAGTATATGCAAGGCTTGTTCTTAGGTTTTTTTATCTTTCTCTCGGAAACAAGTGGCTCTGAAGTTCAATCAGTCATCAACTTTCTACCGAAATAACTATGCAAAATTAGTTTTCAGTGATAGCTGTAAGATTATAAAGGCTTTATACAAAACGAAAACTCTTTCTAGCATTCGAGTTTTTCCGTATCGCACGGAACTGAAATTGTGCTACAGTGAAGAGAACTTCCATCGCTCAATATAGAAATACAAGTTAACGCAATAGTAGTTTATTTGATCTAATATTAAGCAAAATATGATGAAATAAAAGCAGAAAGGGATAAAATTTAATTTTCTTGAAATTAATTGCATTTGTTGAGGGGGTTCAAAAGATCTTCAAACAAGTCATAAAAATAAAATACTGTAGAAATATTCAAATAACAATATCAGAGAAAATAATTTTTATTTCAATCAAAAATCTGTTATGTACCTGTCCTTTTAGTGCTTGAAGGGAGTTCTAAAATGTGAAAGATTAATTTTTACCTAAAATTAATTAATTGTATTTAATCTAAAATTAGTTACGCGCAATAAAAAAAACGCAGTTTATTTTATAAAAATTTCCACTTATGCAGTGAATCATTTTATACATATCCATGTCCTAAAATGAATTTTGGGTAACGTTCAGCAGAACTAACTGAGCAACTTCGAGAAAAACATAATATATAGCTAAACATGTAATACTAGCAAAGTCGATGAATCGCCATTGATTTCAAATGAAAGAAGAATACTGATTGCACCGTTAGCCTTAAAACTTTTAAGGCGTTTATTTTTTCTGAAGTATCATCAAACGAAAAATAAGAAAGGATGGCAAAAAAAGTATTGTGTTTCTCTATTAATTTTAATGTAATGTAATTGCAGGTAAGCAATTTGAAAACTTCATTGTTTTCCTTTTCTTTTGCTGTCATTAAAAAAGAAAATGATACAGTCAACGGAACACTAATTTTTTTCCTACATAATCCTTCTCAATTTAAAGACATTCTCTTTATCTGTTCTGCCAGTCATGTCGCTGGAAGTTTGTCATTATACGACATTTTTCTAGGGGACACCCAAATAGAAAAGATGAAATTACTACTCCGCGTAACAGCCTGTTCTCACGAAACCTGTCAAGTGATTTATTTTCCCCGTGATGAATGACTCTCCTGAAACAGCCATTGCAGCCCTTTAAATTTATCAAAACTTCTTGAAGAGAATGAGTTCCTAAAACTGTCCGAGACGAAGTTATCTCGCGAAACATACGCGGGAGAATAACAATGGAGAACAAAACCTGTCTAATGCATTCATCGATGTCACAGTAAAGAAAACCAACATTTTGTCAAAGTAAAATCTAACAAGTGTATAATCTATAAGTCGCAACTACCGAAATTAATTATAAAATTAAATTCCAATAAATAATTGAAATTAAATTCCAATAAAATTCTGTAAAAATACGTTCTTTATGGTAACGTTTAACCTTTTTTTTTCTTACATTTAAACGGATCGTGAATCGTCTAAAAGCATTTTCATCCAATATAAGTCCCAGATATGTCCACAACAAAAATATATTAACAGGTGAACTTTTGAAAACCTTCTCCTATCTTATTGAATTTTTGTATATAAGACATCCTGAAATTTTTCTTGAACTTGTAAGAACTGTTGCCCTCTCGAAAAAGAACAGCATTGTTGCAATACTGTTATTATCAATGAGCTAAAAGAAGGGGCAAGGAATAGTATTCGATTCCAAAATTCATCAGTCATGATCCTCATTGAATAATAAGGTAGGCCAAAAACCTTTGAACCATAAAATGTGAACATAAATGCAAATCATTACATCAATAGAAGCGTGATAAATACTAAAGAAACATACCAGCAGTTTCTAATAGAAAAGCTTACCGAATGGAAATTAAAGCAATTGTTAGCTATTTAAGAGAAAATTTAGCGATGACTCTAACACGTTTTAATTTTTAAATATTCAATTGTGAGCAAAGAAATAATTTATTCCAATGACCTTGCTTCATCATTCAAATGCTGAAAAGAAAACTTACAGTGATCTTCCTCGCAGCAATGATTTCTAATTCCCATGGTAAAGTCAATTCG